CCTGAGTCCTTCACCTGGGTCCTTCACCTGGGTCCCCCACCTGGGTCCCTCACTTGGGTCCCTCACCTGATCCCTCACCTGGTCTCTCACATGGGTCCCCCACCTGGGTCCCTCACCTGAGTCTCTCACCTGGCCCCTCACCTGGTCCCTCACCTGGGTCCCCCACCTGGGTCCCTCACCTGAGTCTCTCACCTGGCCCCTCACCTGGTCCCTCACCTGGGTCCCCCACCTGGGTCCCTCACCTGATCCCTCACCTGGTCCCTCACCTCATTCGCACTCTGAGAGTGGAACAGGCTCTTCCAGTTCCGCGTGGGCTTGTACCTCACACGATGCACAAGTCTTTTATTTCCTCCCGAAACAGTCTCCGCACCTCCGCCATTTCACTCGTTATTTAACAAGACACCTATTATGCATGAGCTTCATTCCCACGCGACTGCCTTAAAGCGTGTGAGACGGCTGAGTCTGATTTACGCTCCCGGGACGCGATCCCACTGTAAAGTACCTGAGGATTTACTGTACCGGAGTCGGGCCAGAGACTTCATCGTTGGAGACCAATCGGAGACCGAACCCACGTCCAGTGACTCTGCTCTCTCGGATCGGGGCGTGCCGCGGCGCCCCGTCTCCGCAACCGGTATTTAACCATAACCGGGGTACCCATGGTCAGCGCCAGGTCTGACCACCGGTGGCCCCGTCCGCAGGAGTAATGAGCCACATTTAATTTTCCGGTGAAACTCCCCCATAGAAAATTCTGTCACACTGAACTAGTTTTACTGAAAGCTCACTAAAGGAAGAGGTTTCCATCCCTCTCTGGCTCTGCAGAAACGACAGAGAGAAAGGAAGCGTGGCCCAGTCTTCGGGGAACAGCGTGAGTGGGCGGAGCCCGGGACGCCCGCTCAGAGCTGGAGACTCGGACTGCCGTTTGGGCGGAGAGCCAGGGGTGCAGACGAGTTCCTCCTCTTCCTCCTGTCATTCAGGAGGGTAGAGATTACCCTACAACCTTCTAGCCCCTCCCCCCACCCCGCCCACCCACGTGCAGCTTCCCCAACGCTGCGGCACGTGGTTCCGCCACCGGCTGCAACGACGGACCCGCACAGGCACCTCACTGTTTGTCCAGATCCAGTTGGTGCTGAGGTTCACTCCTGGGGAGGCTCACCCTCTGGGTTCTGACAAATACCAGCGGGTTTCAGTCAATGCCCTCAACCTTCACCCGTGCTCCGGCTGCCCACCCCTCAGGCTTATTTTTAAAGAAAAAGAAAATGAAAGGGGGGGGGGAAACAAAGAAAAATGCAGTTGAAGGAACAAATCTCAAGAAGAGTCAGCCACAGCTTAAGGAACGTGCTAGACGGTTGCTCTTCACATGGATTTAACATCTTTCAAACACCACCTTCCTGTGCATACTGTAAAAGGAAAGTTGGTAGCTGAAATCAAATATTGAGGAAAAAGGAAAAGAAAGAATTAAAACATGAAAGCTACAGAGAAGTGGCAATATTATAACCTCCGTGACTGGGAGCCACTGTTCGGGATGTGGGGGGACACCTTCCTGAAACCCACCAGAATGAAACGGAAAGTATGAATTTAAAAATGAATGCAGCCCTGGCTGGCATAGCTCAGTGGATTGAGCGTGGGCTGCGAATCAAAGCGTCGCAGGTTCGATTCCCAGTCAGGGCACGTGCCTGGGTTGCAGGCTATGGCCCCCAGCAACTGCACATGGATGTTTCTCTCTGTCTCCCTCCCTTCCCTCTCTAAAAATAAAATAAATAAAATCTTTTTAAAAATGAACCTGGATACTATGCTAGATGGGAAGACAGACGAAGGAGATCCAACACGCCCATAATTGGCGATGCTAAAAGAAAAGAAGAAAAGCAACATAGCGCCCCCTACAAAAATGTGCGTATATAATGTAACGGCACATTTGTGAGATAAAAGAGGCCACGGGTGCACTGTGTGCAGGAAGAGCCGGCGAAGACCCACCCACTCACTCTGTGACACGGTCTGGCGAACACGACACGAGGAACCACGTGGGCGCCCACCAGAGGAGAAGCGAGCTCTACGCCAGGACGGCAACTCCAGGCGGGCCTGGACACCCCCCCTCACCCCCCCGTGCAGCAACACCCGGAACGGGGAGGGCCCCCAGCTGTGCTTGCAGATGCGCACACGTTTCTGGAGGGGAAAACAAGTGCGGCTCCAGAACGATCGCTTGCCTGACGTGTGCAAGGCGAAAGGAAGGATGTCCTTTGCAAGCACACGGAACTCCCAGCATCCGCGACTCCCTCTCTGGTGACGGGATTCTTAGTGGAATTCGACAGCCCAGGAAATACCTTAAAATAAGGACTGTAGGGATGGCGAATCGAGCAGTCAAAGCCTGCTTAGGAAGGAGTGAGTCCCTTCACACGTAAAGAAAGCCAAAGCCAGCACTCGGGGAACTAAGCCAGAAGGCAAAGACTGTGAGTCTCAATCACGTGAAGCGGACAATGAAATTCGGGCAGTGTGTGGGAGGGGCAGGACCACAGATCCCGTGTGCCGACTTGTTTAGCCACCGCTGCGAGGACTCGGAAGAGATTGTTTCATATTCAAACAGGCGTCTGAAAACCGACTTCTCACTGCTAATGTTGTTATGGTTGCTCCTGACTCCAGAGTTATTTTCTAAAAGCAATATCGTCTTTGGAAAGAAACAAAGACCTTAAATGTAGCGATTGCCTTAGTTCTACGTCAGATCCTTTCTTCTGCTTAATGCAAATCTAAAATTTAATCCTTTTTTTTTAAGAGTAAGGATGAGTTTTTGGTCTTTCAAAAGAGCATTTATTTACCTATCATTGGTTACATTATCTAAATACTTCTTTTTTTTAAGATTTTATTTATTTATTTTTAGAGAGGGAAGGGAGGGAGAAAGAGAGAGAGAGAGAAACATCAATGTGCGGTTGCTGGGGGTTATGGCCTGCAACCCAGGCATGTGCCCTGACTGGGAATCGAACCTGCGATGCCTTGGTTTGCAGCCCGCACTCAATCCACTGAGTTACGCCAGCCAGGGCTAAATACTTCTTATTTAAAAAAAAAGAACTAGAAAGACATATGGTCAGAAACCATTCTCACTAAAAATCTCCATCCCCTTCACACAACACACACATTTTCTTATTTGAAATTGCACATAGGATGTCTCCAGTGACAGTCTCCAAAGTTCATGGTCGTTATTTACGAGTGATGTGATTTCTCTTCTGAACTTTTATGTCTAGTTTGAGTTATTCTCTGTGTGTCTACCTTCCACTACCGCACCTCTCATCAGTGTGATACATGGGTGAATAAGTAAGCAAATATTTTATAACCCTCCTATTTCTACTTGGAGAATTAAAAAGGTACAAATTTGCTTTTATACTGCTATTTCTAGTTGTCAACAACACCCCCCCCACCCCAATATGCAAACAACTTAATATACTTCACATTCTCTTCACGAGATAATTGACTTTTTCGGTCTGAGCTTAGACCAAATACGCACTAATTTTCTAAATGACAAGAGGAATCTGTCACTAGGTTGCACGGAGAATTCTGAAACTACGCTGCCACTTCAGCAGAGATGTTCGCACGGGGGAATTCAGCGTGGCGGTTGATACGTGATGGACTTCTCTGCTAAGCGGTGATAAGTTATGCATTTATATAACCTCATAGAAAGAGCCTTCTATAAAATGTGCAGGGTTACGTATTTGAGATCTTTGGACTGCACGCCCTGACTCCCCGTAAAAGCCACTGAAGCACCAAAAATGAAACAGCCCGGTGCTCCTGATCCTTTCCAGCATTTCGTGTGGGGACGTTGCTTTGGGGAATCCATGTAGGTTCTCACACGCGTGTGGGGGCAGAGGGCCGGGGGCGTGCAGAGGGCTTGGGTAGCTCCTTCCTCACAGAACACAACGCATGGAAGCTGGTGAAACCTTGAACAAGCACAGTCGTTTTTAAAAAGACGATAAACCCATCAAGTAAATAAAAACTGCTTGAAGGAAGAGTTCCCTTCCTTTCAAAGGATTGCCTCCGTGGATAAAATCACGAACGCCCCGTCTTCCAAATCCAGTCTGTGTGATGCCCCTGCCCTGCCTGCCTGCCTGTCTCTCTAACTAATCTCTACCTCGGTCGTCCTGCGAACGTTTCTCAAAGAGCAGAGTCAGGAGGCTGGTTATGGAAACATAAGACGTTTGCAGCTGGAGAAGCGAGACCTGTGCACACCGAGGCCCCGAACCCCCAGTCTTATCAGCACCCGATTAGCATAATGGAGTGCACTTGGCTCATCTCGGAGCTCTTAAAAGTGCAGTTTCCAAGCCATCGCGTTCTGAAACTTTTCATAAAGCACTGCAGGTACCTCAGCACCCACGAGCACTACCATTGTCCACGGAAACTCCAGACGCTCTTATTCGGAAGATGAGGGAGGACCAACGTGCCCCGTGGAATCTGGGGAGCCCACAGCGACCTCTGTGGCCCTCAGCAAAACTCTCCCCCCGGGGAACTTTTGGTCACCGCTCCTCTACGTCATCCTTTGGACCCTGCGAACCCCACCCCTGCACTCTCCGACGGGGGCAAACAGACAGACAGACAGACAGACAGACAGACAAAAGCCAGCCCTCGCACCTGCCCCGCCGCCGCGGCTGTCACGGACAGGGCACGGAGCCGTCTGGAACTACAGAATCACCAATGTCACCCCGGCTCGAACATTCGTTCGTTCCTTCGTTCCCCTGCAGCAGAGCCCGGGGAAGCCCTGACAGACGTACCTGTTGTCCGCCTTCCCGGGTCGGATCCCCACCTCCCGGAGCGCAGAGGCCAGGCCCCCTCCCGCGAGGAAGGAATGCGGCGGATGATGCCGGGGCTGCGGAGGCGCCCAGCGGGGAACGCAGCGCCTTCGCTCGGCCCCACCTTTACCTGCTATGCTAATCACACAAAGACCCCGGCCGGCAGGGGCTGCAGCCGCCGGCCGGGCAACGCTCGGTCGTGGTCGTGCAGCAAACGGCAGGGTTTGCACTCACCGATCTGCGGGGGCAGCGTCTCCGGAGGCCGCCGGTCGCCCTGCAGAAGCGTCCCCAGCTCCCGGCGCGGCGCGCGGAACGGAGCCTGCTGCAGGCGGAAGGAGCCGGGCTGCCGCGCGGACGCCCGTGCAGCCCGCAGATAATGGGACTCCGTCCCAGCGGGGCGCCAGCCCTCGCCGCCGGCCCTGCGCGCCTCCGCTCCGCGCCTAAGCGGGGATCGCGCTCCTCTGCGGCGGCTGCCTTCCTGCCGGAGCCCGGACCCGCCGCTCCGCGGGCACCTGCGCCAGGCCGCCGCCGCCGCGCGGAATATGCAAAAGCAGGCTTCTCCCCCGCCAGCCCGGTTTCACCACCCTTCGGCGGCGCGTCGGGCGGCGCCCAGAGCCGCGGCCATCCCCGCGCGCCAGGCAGCCGGGCCACCTCCCGCGTCCCTGCCAGGAGACGGCCCCCTCTGCGGGGGCGTCAGAAAACCCCTCTCCCTGGAAACTGGGTCAGGCTAACTACTTGTTCGGTTGCCAGCAGGAAGGGCAGTCATCTCCTCCTTCCCCTGGTTTCACCGCCCGCTCATTTGAGAGCTCAGATGCCGCCTGTCAAGGGTCGGCGCTGATGTGGACGGGATTGAAACATCAGCTTTCTGAAGCATGCCTCAGCCCCCGGCTGCGGGCGCGGGTGCGGGGCGAGGGAGCCGCAACCGCGGGCACTGCCTCTCCAGCCTCTCCATCCTATTTTACAGTGTGTGCACGCGTGACCGGCCAGTGCATGACCGGAGGGGGAGCCTGGCAGGTCACCAAGCGTGCAGCTGGCCCAGGGGACGCGCTCCGGTCTCCAAGGGGGCCCAGAGCAAGTGTGTGTGTGTGTGTGTGTGTGTGCGTGTGCAGACCAGCGCTGCTGCAGCCCGCAGATGCGGTGCGTGGTAAACGCCCAGCCTTGTGAACTTTTCCGTGTGCGTGCTCTTGTCACCGGCGTTGAAGGGACCAGCTGCTTGTCCCACAAAAGCTCAGAAATAGGAACGGCGGGCCGGCTGCACACGGACAGCCACACATGCAGACGTGGCTCGGACACAGAGCCCGAGAGTCGCTTGGATGTGTGTTCCCGTGTTGCCACAAAAAGAGGTCACACGCAGCCGGTCACAGCGAAGGGCACTGGGAACACGCAGTCCAGGAAGCAAACTTGGACAAGTCCAAGGTGGCCTTTTAGGACTCGGTTTGCTTCATCCGGCCGGCCAGACGCTTTCTCTGGCTACTCTTTGTGAGCCCGTTCTGGGACCCCGGGGGGCGGGGGTTACTTCTGCAACTGTGTCAGTCACGTGCCTCGTGTCTCCCTCCGGTCCGACTGCTGTCCCGCGAGGATGGAACGTGGAGAGGAGCGGAAACTTCCTGACACTCGTGACCGCAAGATGGGTTGACGCTGCCTCTCCTCCAATTCACGGGGAGGGAAACCAGACGGAGTAATGTACAGGAATGGCGTTCGTCTTCCCTGAACCTCTAGATTTTTAACGGAAAGTATATCTCCCTCTTTCGAAGTCAAGATATACTTGATTCATGGAAACAGCAACACGATGAATTTTCCTGAGTAGGTATGAGAAAAGTAACCACAGTGCAATGGGGGTTTTGCACAAAACGGAATTTATTCCATTTAAAGCACCCACGTTAGCCCTGGCTGGTGTGGCTCAGGGGATTGAGCACCAGACTGCAAACCAAAGGGTCGCCGGTTCGATTCCCGGTCAGGGCACATGTCTGGGTTGCACGCCGAGTCCCCAGTAGGGGGCGTGCATGTGAGGCATCCACACTTTGATGTTTCTCTCCCTTCCTTCCCCTCTCTCTAAAAATAAATAAAATCTTTAAAACAATAAAAATAGAGCACCCACTGTATCCCCATCTCCGACCCTCCCGCCCACGTCAAGGACAGCTGAGGGCTCTGCTGCCCGCCTCACCGCGGAGGGGTGAGACTCAGAAGAGAACCTCAGGAGCTCCACCCAGCGCGCCCCATTACAACACACTTGCCCCCTCGCACACCTGCACCCTCACACCACACCTGAGCCTCTCCCACAGCCCCCCACCCCCCCGCATAGGCACAGCCCCCTCCGGTGAGGCACGCTCCTCCCGCAGGCCGAGCCCTCCCCGAGCCCAGCCACTGCCCTCCCGCACCCTCGAGAGGCCGTGGAGCCTCACGTCCGCCAGGCCGGGACCGCGGGGTCTTCTGCTCCTCGCAGCGCAGACACTGGCGGCTGCTCCGCCCACCTCGGAAAGGGACAGGGCCGCCGCCATCACACCTTCCTCCGGCTACCGCTCTGCCTCCCGCCGCTTTCTGTAGCAAAGCCCCTTGAAAGGGTTGACTGCACTCACTGCGCCCAATTCATCCTTCCTCATTCTATCTTGAATTCCCTTTGATTGGTCTTTGTCTCCACGTACGCCGTGGAAGTCTCTCCTTTCACCGTTAGCGCTGAATTACCCACGGAGCATCCCAGCGCGGCGGCACCCTGGGTCCTCGTCGGAGCTGCTGTATCGGAGCGCTTCTCGGAGTTAATGACTCCTCCTCCAAGCACTGTCCTCACTCGGCTCCACCATTGCCTTCCATCCCGCCCGCCTCTCCTTCTCAGATCTTTTGGCTAGCCTCCTCTCATTTTCTTAATCTTCAGTCCCGGGGGTGCACCAAGGTTCCAAAGTAGGCCCGTGACACCAAATCTACAAAGAACTGCACAGAGAAATCAAGCAAGACCTGAATAAATGAGAAAACACACATGTGTGTGGACGAGAAAACCCAGTACTTCTAGGAGGTCATTTCTCTCCAGATAGGTCTGTAGGTGTGAATTCCAATCAGTTGTCTCAGCGGGTTTTCTTATGGCCTTTGTCAAGGGTTGCTGCAATGTATATGGAAATAAAAAGTAACCAAGAAAAGCAAGATCGAAAAGATAAGACAAGAAAGTTCCAGTCAAGATGGTGGAGTAGGCGAACGCAGGACTCACCTCCCCCCACAACCCCATCAAAATTACGACCGAACGACAGAACAGCCGTGCTATCTGGCTGAACGGGGGTCCTACAACTACGGAACTAAAAACAAAGCCACGTGGAGACTGGGGGTGGGGGGCAGAGATGCGGAACGGGCTGGCCCCACACCCAGGCACGGCAGATGAAAATCAGGGGGGAGTCCCTCTGAGGAGCAAGGGGTCCCAGCCCCACACCAGGTGCCCCAGCTCAGGGTTTTGGTGCCAGGAAGAGAAGGCCCCGTAAAACGTGGCCTCGAGAACCGGCGAGGAGTGGGGCTGAGGGAGACCAGGCCTCCGGAGTCCCAGGAGGTCCGCTTGAAGGCCCTGCACACGGACTCCCCTGGACTCACGCCCCCTGCGCTCCCGCATGGGGACGGCAGCTCGCAAGGCACCGGGGACAGACAGAGGGGAACTGCATTGTCTGGCATCAGGGCGAGAGCTGGAGGGGCGGTGTGCTCCCAGACAGGAGGGTGGCCGAGGCCATTGTTCCTCTGCTGAGCCCCCCCGCCCCCCCAGAGCCAGCTGGAGGGCTCCGTGTCTGAGTCCCCACCAACCTGGCCCCCACCGTTCACCCTTCTCTGGTGATCCCCTGAGACCCTGCCCCACCCAACCTGCAGCCCCACCCAAGTGGATTCCAGTGGCTTTTCCAGATGGATACCCTGTCTTGGCTATTGCTTCAGACTTTCTTCAAATCTCCGAAAGGCCCACAGACCACAGACAAGCATCACCTGGCCCCAGCACGCCTTGTACTCCTTGCTGGGTGGCCCCAGGCCCAGCGCTAGTGGCAGCCAAAGTTGTTTAGCAGCTTGGCCTCCCCTGGGCACCTCCATGCCCAGCACAAGTAGTAGCTATCTCATTACTGCTTTGTAGCTCGGACCAGGTGGTGGTCATGGGTGGGCACAGGTGGCAGATGACCTTGGCCCTGCACCTTCTGGGAGGCCCCAGAACCAGTGCACCCACAGACCACACCACACCGAGGTAACACCCAGCCACCTCTATAATCCACATACTCGTGGGGCAAAGTCAGCGGGTACCAGAGACTCGATGCAGTGAGTCCTGCTTCACAGGGCCAGCCCTGCACAGCAGGTCCTCTGCTACGGTCACTTCCAGTCCCCACGGCCTGTCAGCCTGGGGGCAAGTCTCTTCCTCTGACAGACATCAAGGCTTGCTTACCTACAACATAAGTGTGCACATGGCCCACACAGTGATGCACCTGAAGCGCCCAGCCCAGGTGGTCAGGGAACTGGCGCTATGGGACCCTACAAGACACTCACCACCTCAGGCCACTCGAGCAGAGTGGGAGATGTAGCGGCTCTTCCTGAGACAAAGAAACACAAGGAGGCGGCTGGAAAGAGGAAACAAGGAAACATGTTTTAGATGGAAGAACAGAATTAAAATTTTTTTAAAAAAGAGAATTAAAGTGGAGACAAGTCATCTATCAGATGCAGAGTTCAAAGCACTGGTCATAAGGGTACTGAATTATCTCTGTGAGAATATAAAAAAAAAGAGATAGGAAACGTAAAAATGAAGATAGAAAGCAACAACAGCAAACAGAACCGGTCAGAAGTGAAGAATACATTAAAGGGAGTCAACAGTGGGATAGAGGAAGCAGAGAATCGAACCAGCAGTTCGGAAGACAAGGAAGCAGAACACGTGCAGTCAGATGAGCAAGAAGAATAAAGAGTCTGACACGATGAGGACAGCGTAAGGAGCCTCTGGGGCCACTGCAAGCACACCAACATTCACATCACGGGGAAGCCAGACGGAGGAAAGTGGGAGCAAGAAATTAAGAACCTCCTTGACAAAACAATGACTGAGCACTTCCCTCACCTGGTGAAGGAAACAGACACACAAGCCCGGGAAGCGCAGAGACTCCCAAACAAGATGAACCCAAAGAGGCCCACCCCGAGACACATCGTAGGGAAAACGCCAGAGGTTAAAGAGAAAGGAGACTCTTAAAAGAGCCAGACAAAGCTGTCAGTTACCTACAAAGGAGTGCCCATAAGACAGTCAGCTGGTTTCTCAAAGAAGCTTTGCAGGACAGAAGAGATTGGCACAAAATATTC